TTGAGCAAGAAAGTTTTGTTTTTGGTCAGCAGCCCAATGTATAACTATTCTTTGAATAATTTCCCCTAAAAAATAACTATGGTAAGACATTCATAATATAGACAATAAATCAATCATCCTATAAACAGTAAGATAAACAATCTATAGTTATGCTATTAATATTTGCTGCATTGAATCTGCAATGTAAAGTAAAAATATCCTTTTTTTCCCTTTTCTTCTTCCCCTTCCATGTTCTTAATCTGTTGAAACCAAAATACTTGACAACCTTCCAGTAAGTATACAAATTAAAAAACTTACTTAATATTTAATAGTAATAATAATATAACCTAATTATAAAATGAAATCTATAAAAATGTTTTAGTTAATTTTACTATATAATTGTAGCTAACCCATATTTACATACCGATATTTGTACTTACTCAAATTGATTTGCTTAAAGAATTTATAATAATAAATGAAACGGACACCCATAATTTTTGGGAAGATCTGAGCGGTTGTTAATTTCACTTAAAATTTTTAACCTAAAGTGAGCATTTCATTCTTGAAAAAGAAGCTTGTACTATCTGGTCGTATAGATGTTTTAACTCTTTCATCCTATGTTGCAAGAATATAAGGTCGACCTTTAATATTAATAATTCTCCCTTTAATAAACCCTTTAATAGGTTATTAATAATTCTCATAAATAGTTTGAATACTTGACTGAGCAACGATATAGGTCTATAATTCTGTAGATCACATTTGTCCCATTTTTTGTGTAAGAGTATTACTAGACTCTCGTTCCAGACTTTAGGGATCTGGCTATTATGGAGACATCTAGTAACTAGCTTGTTAGTACAGGGATTGTTAATGTCTTGCTTGTTTTCAAAAGCTCGGCAATTATACCATCTGTCTGGAGCTATTATTTTTTTAGTTTCTTTAAAGCTCTTTCTATTTCGTATCCCTTTATATGTATGGGTGTACTTCTGATCCACGTTTTTTATTTGTTCTTTTGACGTTTCTTTCTTGTTTCATTAGGCTGGCCTTGCGAGCTGTACAAGGATGTGTAGAAGTCTTCGGACAATATTATTTGTTATTTTATATTTGTCCTTCTCTACCTATTGGTTTGCGTCTTTAATTTTGATGATTTTTTTGAACTCCAGTGCGGGTCTTACACATTTTAAGCCTTTGTTGTTTTCAATGACTCGCTCATTAAGTTTTCGTTCCATTTTTTGTATGTCGCGTTTTAGTTCTTTTCTAATTTTTTATTAAGTTCTCTATATTCTTGAGTATGACGTTTGTTTTGCGCTAGTAGTTGCCTTCTTTCCGTCATTAGCTGTTTAGTTTCATTGCTATTTTGTCTTCTTTAGTCCTTGTTTTCTTTGCGACCTGTAGTCCTGCTGCAGAAGGTTTATTATTAGGTTTTTATTAATCTCGTCAATTTGATCTTGATTAGGTGAAGGATCAGATTCGAACTTATCCGCTAAGACCTCTTGGAATTGCTCTTCATTATGTTCTTAGTTTAAAGGCATCTTCAAATATTCCTTTGTTGTTTGAGAGAAAATAGTCTATTTCATTTTTGGTAGTTCCGTTAGGTGCGACCCATTCCACTTTCTGTTAGGTTTCTTTTGTAGAAGGTATTCACAACATACTGTTTCTTGTTCCAGAAATTCACGAGTTTTCTCCTCTTGTGTTTCTTGTGCCGAATCCAAAAGTTTCAATCTTGCTTTCAGAGTCTTCAATCTTACTTCCAATTTTGGTGTTTAAAGTCTCCCATTATGATTATTTTGGATTCCTTTGTTGTTGTCTATAGCTTTTTTTACGTCTTCGTAAAAAGAATTATTTCCTCATCGGTTGCTTTTTCAGTTGGAGCATAAACTTGCACTAACTGTCTGATATGCTGACAATTATTTGAATTTGAGATTTTCTCTTCTTGTTGATTAAGAAACCTACTCCACCGTATGTGTAGTCTTCCCTGCCTTTATAATAGAGTCTGTTGCCTGAATGTATGTCAACATATCCTTCACCTCTTCTTTTAACTTCTGACAGTCCCGTTATGTCCCAATTCAAGTTCCCCCCATTTCCTCTTCTAGTTCGTAGATGTTTTTCGTCTTTGCAGGAGCGGATGTTGTATGTTGCTATTAGTCCAGGCTGTAAGGCCGCTCCCGTTGGGAAAATGTTTCTGATTCGGTTTCTTCGCGGATTCGATTCAAAAATGTCCCCTTTAAACAAATCTGAAGGGTGCCGGGCGAAATTTTTGGGCAGAAATTTGTTTAAACAATTTTTTTAACAAAGTCCAAAAATATTTGTTTTTAATCTGGAAAACGTTTTTTTAGGTTTTTTTGGGCCATTTTAAACAAAAAAGTCTGTTATCATTTTTCTCTAAAGTTGATAGTTTTTCGAGTTATAATGCGATTTAAAGTCTGAAAAAACGCGAAAATACGCATTTTTGAGGCTGAAAACACATATGTAAATTATTTTTGAGGTTACCAAGTGTCTAAATCAAAGTTTAAACATTCAACTTCAATATTGTGAAGAGTAATCGGGGCTTATTTTAATTTAGGACCGTTTTTTTAATTGTTAAGTATGCGCGTACACTCGATTGGGCGCCTCTATGTACTTATTGCATAGTTTTACATATACTTACAAATAATTATTATTTATTGAGTATATATTTATTTATATCAATTGAGTTATAATATAAGATTTCGTCTAAAGTCTAATATATAGTTACATAAAATAATTGTACAAAAGATTGTTAAATAACACACTAATATCACTCAGTAAAAGTAATCTTTGTTTTCACAAAATCTAAATCACATCCACATAATGGTACACAGTTGACATGATTTTTCTTGCAGTTGCAAGCATTAGTTTTGCAAGTCTTTTGCATTTGCACGGTTTCCCAACCCACCACTAATCAGACATATAATATCCATATTGTGTAAAATCGAAGAGTTTGATAGCGGAATATATGGCATTTCTCCAAATATATGTTTTAGCGAAGCTTCTTAACAAGTGTTGTAAAGTGCATCAGTGGTTACAAGGTATATTGGCTAGATTAAATTAAATTTTTCAGTCACACTGTCTTTTCGTCGAAGAGCAGCATTTTGTATATGTTATGTAAAAATCTACTTTAGGTTTTTGCACTACTTAATATTGTTGATGTTATTACAAAAAAACAAACAAAATTTTCTTCTGTAAGTTTTCATTTAAGAAGAGGTACGGAAAAAGACATTTTAAATCCATTCACATTTTTTTACTAACACATAATAATAAATACCCTTTTAATGGCATTAAACAATAGTCCTTCCTAATGATCGTTTATAGGTAATAACAAATCAAGTATGACGCGCGAATGTTAAACAGTAAAAACTTGCATTTTTGCGATAGTATATTGTTTTTATTTAAAATTAAGTTTACTAATATTAATATTTACTGCATTGTATTATTTAAATAATAATCTAAAAATATTATTTACAATTGATATAAATAAATATATACTCAATAAGTAATAATTATATCGTTCAAATTTGGAAGAAAAAAAACTATATACTGTTATTACATTGTCGATGATTGATTTATTTAATTAGCCCAATGACAATAATTAATACCTACATAAATAAATTATGGAAAAAACTATGTTAATAAACTTCAAGGATTTGTTCGGGTTTTTTTGCGTAAGTGTATATGTAAACTATTGCATAAGTACGATAGAAAGCGCACTCAGCGCGCCGCGCCGCGGCGGCTGAAAAATCGAGTGTACGCGCAGATTTAACAATTAAAAAACAAACGGTCTAAATTAAAATAAACCCCGATTACTCTTCACAATCTTGAAGTTGAATGTTTAAACTCATTTAGACACTTGGTAACCTCAAAAATAATAATTTACATATGTGTTTCAAGCTCAAAAATGCGTATTTTCGCGTTTTTTCAGACTTTAAATTGCTTATAACTCGAAAACAAATCAACTTTAGAGAAAAACGACAAGAGACCTTTTTGTTTGAAATGACCCCAAAAAACCTAAAAAAAACGTTTTCCAGATTAAAAAAAATATTTTTGGAATTTGTTTTAAAAAAATTGTTTAAACAATTTCTGCCCAAAAATTTCGCCCGCACCCTTCAGATTTGTTTAAAGCGGACATTTTTGAACCGGAATCTGCGAAGAAACCAAATCAGAAACATTTTCCCAACGGGAGCGGCCTCACAGCCTGGACTATATATGGAGTTGTTTGTTTGAATTTTGGATAGGGTAGGGAATTTTAGGAACCTTTTTTATATGGAAAAAGTGTTATTTTTTTACTTTTGCCTAATACTTACATTGTTTATTATATGAAATAAATATTTTAGTATGCATAAGTTGGTTTTATTGATGTTATAACACATTTTAACTACAAAAATTATTCTTAAATGTTTTTTTTGGCCCAAAAAAATTCAATTTAAAAAAGTATCCAATATTAAGCGCCTTTCATCTATCGTATTAAAAATTTAACCTTTTTTACAGCATATGGGTATATGTCGATTTTTATGATAATTTTTTGATATGTTTTCTGACGTTATTTCTTTGATGATCTCGAGAGAAATGTTAATCGATCGTTTAGTTTATTTAATCCTTTAATTATTATTTTATCTTTATGAGTTTCAGGTTAAACTCATGGCGCCCATTTTATTTTGCAGTTTAGCTGTATTCCGTGTTTCTTGTTTTTCTTTGTTAAACTGTTATATTTTTAACTGTTTATCGAATTATTATATATCGTTTATGTATCTGTCTTTAATCTGTACTTTTCTATCATTTATATCCTTACCCACCTCTAATGAAGCTTCTGACTTGAGCAACGTGGTCTTTTTATTATCTACTTTTGTCAGCTTTTTTGTCAAAAACCGACTGCTATCACAAAACTCACCCATGCGTCTTGCTAAACTGCTCGCTGATAACAGCTTCGTCCTCGATGCTGACTGATTGTAATGGTGGAATAAAGTCCTCCTCATTTTAAATAAATAACTAGCTAATATAGATTAAAATATTTATTTTAAGTTTCTAAAGACAACTTTGGTATTACAATAGGCACTTTATGCTCACATTAAAAAAGCTTAAGATTGATAAACAATAAATAATTACGTGGTAAAAATATATAATCTACATTATATACATATATAGCAGGATGTTATGTAACAAGAAAAACCAACTATAAATAAAAGAATTGAAGAATAATTTTGACTTAATTCTTACAATCATTTACCCCATACAAATCAACTACAGAGCCATAAAAACGCAATCAGAGTAGTCTGTACAATAAAAAAGTCGTATGTTGAGATTTTAGTCACTTACTACACAGAATAATACATGCATAATCTAATTTTTTATGTAATATGTTCACAACACAAACAATTAATCTTTATATTGACAAATATAACAACTAATATAGACGTATATAGGTTTATAGACCAAACATGTCATGTCCCTATGGATATTTACGATTGAAATGGCTGAATTAAGACTAAAATGGCGATATTTAAATGTAAATTGCACAACCTACTTTAATTCCCATTTTTTCTCGATGGCTCGATACAATAACTTGAAAATTAATCCATATTTACAAAAAAATCAGTCTATATTACACAAAAGTCCTTTCTTCAAGCGTCAAAGAATATTTTCCGTATTCGGCCCAATGTACTCTTCTATTTTCTAGATTACTACTTCCAAACCCAAAGTTTTTGTGCAGTTCTTCCATCGATTGCCTGGTACATTCGTGTTGGTAGTATCGTTTATATCTCCTGACTAGAACTATGGAACCAATGACGAAGAATATCTGGATGATTATCCATAAAATTATTAAAGCTATCACCAAGGAGTAGTCTAGACACACTTCATTTGTAGCGTAATCTGCGAAAAAAAGAACAATTATATACACAGTGGCCCAACTAAAAGGGAAAAACTTTTTTCCGGGAAACTAAGGTATTTCAATATTGTTTTTAAGAGGGATATTTGAAATTAATCGTTCCGCAATCTAAAGATGCCCTTTTGGAAGAAATTTCAAGTTGTTTAAATACATACCTATATATATATATATATGAAAGTAAAAGATTGCATTTCATTTCAATCGGAACTCCACCATTGCCCAACACGGTTGTTTCGGTTAATTCACTCATCGTCAGAGCACTTGTGGAAGTACAACTAAAATGAAATGCAGTTCTAGTATTTGTCATTATAACCAAAATAACAGCCAGGGTACGCTAGCAGCGACATCTATATGAAATAACAAGAAGTCGAGAGACCTCCCTGATAGCAAATTAGGTGAACCGGAAATTCAAAGCCTCTTGCTAGAGGCTTTTAACGACGCTAGAAGCATACTCTTACTTCGACATGCATCTACGATTCACCTTTGAAAATTACCACCTTTTTTGCTCTTTACGTATAGAAAGACGTTTAAATGAAAGTAAAAGATTGCATTTCATTTCAATCGGAACTCCACCATTGCTCGACACGTGTTTCGGGTTATTCAACCCATCGTCAGAAGCACTTGTGGAAGTACAACTGAAATGAAATGCAGTCTAGTATTTGGTCATTATAAAAAAAATAACAGCCAGGTAACGCTAGCGACCATCTATATGAATTAACAAGAAGTCAAGAGACCTCTCTGACAGCAAATTAGCTCTCTAATGCGGTTCACCTAATTTGCTATCAGAGAGCATGACCTCTTTGGGCCTCTTTGCGTGCATGACCGCCAAAAAATTGATACCTTTGAGATGTGGCGCTGGAGAAGAATGCTGCGCATACCTTGGACAATGCTGCACATACCTTGGACAGCACACTTTAACTATTTTAAACCAATTCGTGATTAAAAAAAGGCTGCCCACAATATGTCTGCAACGTATTCTGCAATTTTTCGATGACGTGATTCGTAGAGATGACGATAGTTTGGAAAGATTAATTATTTCTGGAAACGTTCCAAGGAGAAGATTAAAAAGACGATCACCAAGTAGATGGTCCGGCCAAATTAGGAATTCAGCTGGAAACTCATTCTGCGAAGCTCGCAGAGCAACTAAAGATGGAGACCAATGGAGAAAAATTGTTATGAATATTGGAAGTAATCACGATCCTCAGTAATGGGGAAACGACAAGATAGAGAGAGAGAGAGAGAGAGAGAGAGAGAGAGAGAGAGATCGTAGGCCTTTTGTAATTCTACAAATAGCACATATTGTATTCCCTGAAAAAAAGTAATCTTTTTTTAAATTATCTGAGTAATACTATGCTAATATAGGGGGTCAACCTATTCTACGTGTTCTTCTGCTTGTGTCGTTAAATTTGCTTTCAATTTTATGTTTAATAAGCTTTCCATATATTCTACTTAAGTTACTGGTAGCAGACAATCCTCGTTAGTTTTCGCAGTTGTCTTTGTTTTATTTTGTTTATAAATTGCAGATATCTAAGTTTTCCATTTCTTTGGAACTTCCTCGCCATTAATACACATTCAAATATTTTTCTCATATTATAGTATAGTTCATCTGGTGCATATTTGATTAGTTTAGCAATGTATGTCCAGGCCCAGCAGCTTTTCTGATGCCAGCTGATGAATTATCTGATTACCATAAAATAAACGACATAAATAGCACAGGGCAGAGTATTTGGACAATTCTTTGATCTATTATATACTGTGAATGTATCTCCAATTGATGACATATTATTAGCAACATTCGTAGACAACACTGCAATTTTATCGTCAGAAGTAATCCAACAAGAAACACTGAAAACTTCAGAATTATCTCAAACTACAACATTGGTTAGATAATTAGAAAATAAAGGCCAGTAGAACCAAAAACACTCGAGCTAGAGTGTTTAAAATCGAATAAAATACTGCTTTGTAGCTTTACAGAAATAAAAAAAAAATAAATAAAAATCGGTATTTATGCATAACACGTATGATAAGTTACTACATTACCATATCCTGCTACTAAAATTTTATTATCCCCTAACACGAGTCTGTCTGACACAAATTTGTTGGACTGTCGTACTATCATAATATACTCCAGTGGCATTTCAAACATAGTATTCGACCTTGGTTGAACCACTGTTCTGTTCAGCTGTATGACAGTGGTGCCATTTATAGTTTCAATTTGGGTCGTTTCTCGTTTTCGTCGTCCATAGGATATCACATTTCCAGCACAATTCACCTAAAAAGTACAAAGATCTTATTATCTATATTTGGATAAATTAATAATGGATGGTTCTTCTCAGTGCATTTTAGGCACTTCGAGAAGACATTTGCCAGGATGGTATTAGACAAATAAGTATTTGTTATGAAATTAAAGTGGTACTAAACAATTGTAAATTTGTTTACTTGACTAGTTATTCTAATTTTAATTAAGAAAGGTAGACAAAAGTAATCACCCGATGTTCTTTTGCTATATATTAATTTAATCAAATATTTTCATTCTGCTTGTAAACTTATTTATTTAATCTATTAAAATTTATTTCATCAAGTCGAATTAAGGGCTCAAGGGACTGAAACTTGTTGATGTAAATCCGCGACTTCAAAAAATGCCATAAAAATAAGTCTGGAACGGTTAACCTATTAGCGTCCACGGTATCTTATTTTAAGAATTAATATTTTTGCATTAGATATTTATTGGTAATATGATTGTAACAAAACTTCAAATGTAACTGTATTTAAAAAAAAAACAGAATTACTTAGATATAGATATGTACCCAAATGAGTACACTGGCACTACTAGCGACTTAATAGATAATGTACTTAACAAAAAATTAATTGAAATGAAAAGTTTTGAAACAGTCTCTCACAATACAAAGGGTTATATTACACTTTTCACAACTCCATCATGGCTCTTTGATGACACTGAGCACACCTTAATTGTTTAATAAGTTTTTTTGGAAAGTGATCTCCTTCATGTTTTCTACGGTAGGCAGAGTATTTCCGGAAGGTCTGGATTTCATATACCATTGATTTAGCATTTACAACCTAATAATGTCGTACAAGTACTCTTTGAAAATCAAGAAGACTAGTTTGTTGACCTTATAGCAGCTGATACAATCTCCAACTATTTACAACAGTCATGTTTATAAGATTAGTAAAAAGCACCCACCACCATTTTTCCCCCTTATTCCGATGCGGTAACTGTTTAGTTGCTGATCATGTAAGTCGACACCACCCGTGGACTTATTATAATTTTTATATAAAGCAGGTTGAGAAACATCCACTTTGACCTTAGCAGTGGTTGAGCATCGTTTTACTTGTGCTACAGGTTCCATAGAGTCGTAATTTGTAGCCATAGTCACTATGTTATTATCTTTCCACCTAACAAATAATATACCTCGAGACTTGTCATATTGATGTTCAAAATAACCTCTGTCTTGTTTTTTGTAGTTGTTTCACATTTGATAGGGGACATTTTTTTTGTTCTATTGTCTCTTACAGTTGCAGTAGCTCTAATTCCTATTTTTTTTAATTTTTCCAACAGATCGTAACTTGTAAAAAAAGTTATCAAAAAATAATGTATGGTCAGATGGGCAAGCGATGTGGTCTACCATACCAGAACTACTTATGATCCTAATGGTATGCTATTTTTTCTTATCAATATTTTTTGGCTCCACAATAAGTATCTACGGCATAACAATAACCATAGGAACTACAGAACAACCAATTTTTGTAGCCAAATTCTAATAGGTTTACATTTTTAATAAATAGTTTTACTGGGTATGTCTTCCAAAAAATGTAAACCATAGATTCATCAACACATAAATGTTCATGAAAAAATACCCCACTATCTGTAACTCGATTCAGCTTTGTTAGCAGAGGTCCAACTTTTGCCATTTTGTCATGTGCTGGTAATGCTGTATTGTCGGCAAGGTGAATGTAACGCTTTATATCTAGAAATCTATTTCTAGACATAGATGCACAAACAAACGGCACATTTAAATCTTCGGAAAGACTCCAGTACATTCTTTCACTGGGTAGTTGGTGATATCCTGTTAGTATAATACACCGAAAAACGTTTGTATATCTGCCTTGGCCACAAAGAAACTATGGTTGTTGCATTGAGAAGAATATAAATTAGTTTGTGTAACTATATTATCAAATATGTCGTCAGTGAATAATTTTTCAAATTATCTCAACTTAATTTAAGTCTTGTACATCAATGTTTAACGATTTCAAACCGCTCATTCCACCCCGATGTTCCTACCATACTATTATTTGTACAACTTTTTGTCCATTGAGGACCTAAACTCTTTTGTTCTCGTACTCTTTTTAACCGCAGTGCCAAAGGTACATCCTCTAAGTCTTCGTCTTCATCTGCAGAGCAATGAACTTCAATTTCTCCTACAACATCTTTAGGTAGTGTCAAATTTCTTTCTATAAGGTTATCATCCTCAATGTCTTCCTCATCAGTAAGTATATCTGGGTCTGGAGGAATAATAACCATATCCACTTCATACCGCGAATTAGAAGCACGAATATCTTCTAAAGCAGAAGGTAAACCTTCGTACCTCTTTCCATAACAATTTCCAACGCTAATACTCTCAAAATCGTCTACAGATGCCATATCTGTAACAAACTTGCAAAATATCAAACATACTCCCATACGCCCATTGTGCTCAAATGAGTACATCTATTTTTAACAACAAACAAATCACGTTATAATTAAAATTATGATTAATGAACCACTTAAGCACTTTACTAAATTTATTATAAACTAACGTAAACCATTTGATCGTAAAAGGAAGTAAATGAAAGAAACTTACTGTAAATTTATAACGTCGATGTCGAGAAAATAAACAACTCACTTGTTGATCTCATAAACAATAAATCAAAACTAACCAACCAAGCTGAATCATTCAACGAAATCTATTAAAGTTGTCGTCTTAGGGGTATTTAGTTTCCTGTAATTACTAAGAACGGCAACTATTATATTGTAGATGGCACTAGTATGTCAAAATAGCAGCTGTACTTAAATGAGTACAGAGGGCGCTAATGGGTTAAATCGGGTGATCTTGCCTGCCAGTGTAAATCACCACAAGAGGTTAAACAACCCGGAAATGTTTCCGTCAGAATATTGGTTGTGGCTCGAGAAGTGTGTCCTGTTGCACCATTCTGTTAAAACCACATGTTCAGTCTCAACTCATCCAATTAAGGAAAAAAATACGGTAATTACGGTTCCACAGTATTTAGTCTGCGGCGTTCTCCAAGAACAATAACCCGATGACTCCTCCAGCCCAAATAGCAAACAGTAAACCACGCAGTAACTTTTAGCGAGTGTAATGGATTTTCGTAGATGATACACTCATCTGATTGCAACGAGTAATCTGATTGATGGCTTGTCGATTTGTATTCTACGCTTGTTTACTTCATAAACGTCAAAATAGGATTGACATTTGAAGCCACTTGAAAAAGTTAAAGCATTTTCCAATAAGGTGATTACTTTTGTCCTACTTAGTACAGGGAATGTTAATAATAATGTTCGATATTAAGACATATCAAACCACAGGAAGAAGCTTTCGTTTTTGAAAGTATTGTCAAATGTCCACCTATGGTTAGTTTTATGAATTAATATCAAAAGTCACCGCATTCTACATTTACTAAATTACTTCAAAACTATTTGACACTGAGTAGTTTTTATTTATTTAAAACCTTCTTAACTAGATAAAATACCAAGTGTTATAATATAATATGGTTGAACTCGTATTAAAGTGGGGGTTTCAATAATCATATAATATATCTATCTATCTATACAGCCCTTGCTGTCAAATTTTGGACATAGGCCTCCTATTCCTTCTTCCACGTCTCTCTATTGTAGGCAGTTTGTATCCACTTCGGGCCTGAGTGTTTCTTGAAGTCATCTGACCATCTCATTTGTGCCCTTCCTCTTTTTCGTTTGTAACTATATGGTCTCCAGTATATAATCATCTTATTCCATCTCTCGTCTTTCTGTCTTATGATATGTCCAGAGAATTTCCACTTAAGTTTTGCTATCTGCGTTGATACATCGGTCACTTTTGTTTTGTTGCGGACCCAAGTATTTCTTTTCTTGTCTGATAGCCTGATGTTCAGCATTTGCCTTTTCATGGCTCTTTGGGTCTTTGCTATTCTATTTTTTTTCTTAGTAAACGTCCAAGTTTGAGAACCGTAGGTGAGAACAGGAAGTATACATTGGTTGAACAATCGTGTTTTTAAATATTGGGGGTGTTTTCTATTTTTTAGTATATAGGAAAGTTTTCCGAAGGATACCCATTCTTTTACTTGCTCTATAGTTGTTTGTGCAATTGTAATTATTAACTCTTCTGGTTGGTTGGTCATAATTTTAGTTTTATTATAATTCATTTGTAGACCTATTTTTGTTGATTCGCTATTTAATTCATCCATCATATTTTGTAATTCTTCCTATTATCTGTTATTAATACGATCTCATCTGCATATCTCAAGTGATTCAAGTATTGTCCATTTATGTTAATACCCCATTTTTCCCATTGTTATTTCCATATAACGTCTTCCAAAGCTTAATTAAATAGTTTGGGTGATATAGTGTCACCCTGCCTGACTCCTCGCCGTATATAGGCTCCGTTTGTTCAACTATTTTAAGGGATGTTGTTGCTTGATCATATATATAATATATATATATATATATATATATACTATATATATATATATATATATATTTATAGAGCAAAACTGGTAAGATTATCGACCGAAACGTAAAAAACAATTTATTGTGTTGGAATATCGGGTATGCGGTCGGTTATTATTAAAAAAAAACTCTTTTTTTTTTCTTTTAATCCTCTATATTTCGCTGATTTTTTGTCAGCTTCATCAGGAGACAACTAAAAATTTGAATAAAAGTTATATAAAAATCAGTTTAAATAAAAAGTGACTTACTTACAGATTTAGAGTGGAAAGTATTTAAACAAGTTGTTGAACATAATTTGTTCAAAACAGTATTGACAGTTTTTGTTAAAAGTACCTAGGTCACTAGTAATTAAATGTAAAAATATAAAAACAGAGCAACAAAAACAACGAAACAATTAAAACACAATAAAATTACACATTAAAAATATACAGGGTGATTTAAAATATAATTGTTAACAGAAAAATTATTTAGACATACTAAGAATATTACAGTAGATATTGCTCAACTGTCCCGTGTCTGCCTTGTAATTTACTGCATAGCTTTCTCTATTTATATGACACATTTCTAAAAACAATCTTTTTTTGTAATTATTTTCTTGCTGTAAAACCCTGACATTAGAGTAATCAAATTGATGGCCAGTTTTTTAAGTGATGGTCAACTGCCGCACATGTGTTTCTTCGTTTTGTGCAGTCACTTTTGTGTTGGGTGACCCTTTGTTTTAGCCATTGAGAAGTTTGGCCAACATAACAACTCTGGCAATCCAAACAAGGCAGTTTGTAGATAACATTAGTTTTGTTTAAAGTTGGTGTCAAGTTGTACAGTGACAAGAATCAAGAGTGAATACAAGACAGGGGCAGCTCTTACTACACCAGGAGAGTCACGTAATGTACAAAAAAAAAAGACTAATGATGTCAGCGATACTATAAAAGGAGAGATTAGAAATGTACTGTATGGCATGAAAGCAAAAGGAGAGCACGTTATTAAAGTTCTAAATACACAATTAAGAAAACAAGCATCTCTATGACGGTTTCCGATACAAGTTTGTGGGTCTTATGAAAAATTGTGGGTTTTCATACAAACTAGAAAATAGTAGATGAGTGCTATGGAGAAACCATGTATTGTCTTCAAACGACTGTATTTTTTAGGCATTATATGAGAAATGTTTTAAGTCCAAGCCCACTTCAGTTCGTTTTTTTTTTAGATGAAACATGGATATTGCTAAAAGGGGCATATAAACGTACTTGGCAAGATGACTATGTGAAAAGCATCAGAAAAGGACACGAAAATACAGGTAAACGCTTTGTTGTTTTACATGCCGGAAGTATTCAAGGATTTGTTAAAGATGCTGGATTACTGTTTTCCACGAAATCGAAGAGTGCAGACTATCATAATTTTATGGATAAAGAGTCTTTTAAAAAGTGGGTATCCGAAAAGCTGATACCAATGTTGGAGCAACCATCTCTAATTATTATGGATAATGCCTCATACCATAGTTCTTTAATAGAAAAGTTACCGAATGCCAGTTGGAAAAAATCGGACTTACAACAATGGTTACGAGCGAAAAAAATAATTTTTGACGACGATTCGGGAAAGAAAGAGCTATTGAGTCTTTGTCGCCAGAATAAACCACAAAATACCAGGTACGTTTATAGACGAGCTACTCCAGGAACATGGGCATCAGGTTTTGAGATTGCCTCCATATCACTGTCAATATAATCCGATTGAGTTTGTCTGGGGCATTTCTAAACAATACTATGATCGTCATATGGAGAACATGGACGTGGAGATGAAACAGTGAAAAAAGTTTGGGGCGATGCATTAGCTGAGGCAACACCTGCAGTGTGGGCGAGTTGTGTTAACCATACTGAAAAATTAATTCAGGACGACTGGGCAAAAATAGTCACATATGATGAAAATGAAAGTAGGATTATCATCGATTTGGCGGAAGATTCCAATGACCAAGACAGTTCCAGTGAAGACGCTGACTGATTAGCTAATTAATCAAGGTCAGTACATTGTAACAGTTCAGAATTCGCTACAGTGCTTAAAACTTAAAAAATCTGTATCATTTTTTAATTAAAGTGGGTTAAATAATTAACACTTTTTTGGGTATATTTCAAAATCCTTTTAAAATGTACTTTTCGTTATATCCTGTCCTATTGTACTGCAAGCTAGAAAAATACTTCTTCGCAATTTATACGTATTTCCGTTATTAGAAATTTAATGAGAAATAATTTATAATTTTCTTTTATAACTATTATTTCGTTTGATATGCTACATTTTGCTCCGCCACTGGAGGAGGTAAACGAATCGAGGTTAGACAAGGAAAGACAGATGAAACAACTTATTGCAAGTGTTTTTACACGCACACGCCAAGAACGATGAAAATGCCTATATACTTGATTAGTTAGATATACTTGGTTACTACTAATACTAGTTAGTTAAAGTGTAAAAATAATTTAGTTACGGAATAGAAAAACATAGAATTATCACTTACTGCTGGGCATTCTTCAACGCAAAACTGAATAATGACGCTAAATCTCACGATCGGCGAATCCGCAAACTTAAACGCTTGAAAATTGGCCGTGAGTACTACTTTGTCTTCTGTTCTAACTTTGGTTAGTGCTGGGAATATACTGAGGTCAGCTGGACATCCCCTATTGTCCAGTAAAAATATCGACTCTTCCGTTTTTTCGGTCATCGCTATCAGATGGCTTGCGTATATGTCAAGATCTAAAAAAATGTTGTAGGTTAATCGATATTACTTTTTATTATTTATATTTTAATACTATCACTGATTAGATGTTAAATGCTTACTTCCTGGTTTGTTTAAAATAATCTCCAGCTGAAGATACTGGCCTATCTGTGAATCACTCACTTCACCGCCGGTGTTTGGATCTACAATTTTCATAATTACGTCTGGCACGGTTGAATTTTGCCCTGGAATAATAATAACGCTGCCTCTGTTTGGTAATATCCTGAAAGCGAACAGATTACAGCATTCAAACACCAATAATCGAAAAGTTTCATACCGCTTAATAGGTGAGCCTTAAAAAAGTCTAAATAGGTTAACAATATTTGAAAATATAATATATTAGTATTGTATTGTTACGATAAATAATGACTCATATCGAGACTGTAAACATTCTTTTTCATTCTGATATTTTCTAGATTCTCCGACCCTCCGATAAGAACTTGTTTGCTTTCGATGAAATTCCACTCTATTCGAGAAGGTATCCTTCGCCGGAATTTCGGAACTAGTGGCTGTTTTGTATATATGGAGGATTTTTATTTGAAAACAAGTCAGTCCGAAAATATCATTGTATCGAGTTTAAATTGTAACGGGAAATAAATAGTGTGAAATAAATTAGTGAACATTGTATATATAAATTAATAAAGACTAATAAAATTGTAAGTGTTATAAATGTAGAACCTTTGATAATAAATAAAGACAATAAGTAATATTAATAAAAACAGTTCAATTGGTATCAAAAGTGAAATATAAAATAAATTGTGAAAATGACTACGATTTATGAGCTTACAGTTACGGATTTAAGACATCTCGAGGACAGAGAATTAGCTTCTACCGTAAAAAAAGCTGATTTAGTCCAACGACTAAAGAACACTTTGAAAGAAGAGAGTTTGGATAAGGAAACTTATATATTTGAAGACAAACATGCTGCTGTCATCTCGTCGATTTCGAAATTAGAGAACAAAGTTTCTGGTGACATCGCATCATTAGAAAACAAAGTTTCCTCTGATGTAGCCAAAGTTTCTGGTGACATCGCATCATTAGAAGTCAAAGTTTCTAACGAGATTTCTTCTCTGGAAAGCAAAGTTTCTGCTAAGATCTCTTTGAAAATCTCTAAAGTCACTTCTGAGATGTCTGTCCTCGACGATATAATATCTTCGTTAAAAAACCAAGTTGCTGCCAATAAGTTGGCCTTCGAAGAAAAGATGAAAGAAATGAAAAGGAAGATGGAGGAAACAGGGACAGCAGAGAAAAGAAACAATCCATTTACAGTAAAGACAAAAGAAGACGAGACAAAATGTAGTTGGAAACACGGTTGGAATTCAAATTGGTAACGAGGAGGTATTTCTTCATCCACATGATGACAACACTATGCAAGCAGCCGTTAAAGAAGATACAGTTGTGCCTGCAAGAAGTAAAAAGATCATAGTAGCGCGGTTACAGGGAATTGTGGACGAAGAGACACATGTTATGATGGAGCCTTGAAACCATGACGACGAGGTTGGCCAAGGAATCATAATTGAAAAGAAATTGGTGACTTTGACTAACGAAATACCTGTGAGGCTTATCAATGTCAATGACTACCTAGTGACCATCAAGAAAGAGACAAAAGTAGGAACTTGTGTACCTGTGACATCTATAATTCGTTAGACGACAACATCTGATAATTCCAACGACAAATTCGACCAAATGGTTGCAGTTGCGGGATAGTCTCTAAATCAGATGAAGAAAAGGAAATTAAGGGAATTTCTTCGGCAGTATCGTGATATTTTCGTACCGAAAAGAGGAATGACGGGAAAAACTACCATTGTTGAGCATAAAATTAATACTGGTAATGCTAAGCCAATTCGTCAAACAGCTCGACGATTACCACAGGCGAAACGGGAGGAAGCTGAAACGATTGTTCAGGAAATGAAGAAAGACGGGGTAATAGAACCCTCTACGAGCCCATGGGTTTCTCCGGTGCTCCTGGTTAAGAAGAAAGACGGAACGACGAGGTTCTGTGTAGATTAACTTTACTAAACAACGTTACCAAGAAAGATAGTTATCCTCTGCCTCGGATCGACGACATATTGGATACATTGGCTGGAAGTAAATTGTTTTCTACTTTGGATTTGAAGTCTGGATACTGGTAGGTAAAAATAGACCCAGTAGATAAAGAGAAGACAGCCTTCACCACAGGATCTGGATTGTGGCAATTCAACTTTATGCCATTTGGACTCTTTAATACTCCTGCGACATTTGAGAGGCTTATGGAAAATGTGTTGAGAGGGTTATCTTGGAAAACATGCCTAGTTTATCTAGATGACATAATCGCCTTGGGGGAGACATTTGAAGATCATCTGAAGAATTTAGAAAACGTTTTTAATCGACTTAAAGCTGCCCAATTGATGTTAAACCCCAATAAGTGCCAGCTATTTTAAGGTAAAGTCAATTATCTGGGTCATATAGTCAGTAAAGAAGGAGTGGCCGTGAATAAAGGAAAAATCAATTCCATTAAGGAATGGCCAGAACCAACCGACAAACATCAAGTGAGAAGTTTTCTTGGATTATGTACTTACTACCGGAGGTTTATTAAGAAGTTTGCAGATATTGCTAAGCCATTAACGCACCTTACAAAGGAAGCAAGAGATTACCGCTGGGACGTAGACTGCCAAAATGCCTTTGAGACCTTAAAAAAGCATTTAATCACAGCACCAATTTTAGGGTATCCACTGCCAGAAGGATAGTTAATCTTATATACAGATGCAAGTAATGTAGAAATTGGAGCAGTGCTATCTCAGATTCAAGGAGGACAGGAACGAGTTATTGGATATTTTAGTAAAGTTCTTTCAAAACCTGAGCGGAATTATTGCGTCACGAGAAGAGAACTTCTAGCAGTAGTGAAATCAGTAAGGCACTACTATTAATACCTATATGGAAGAAAGTTTTTAATCCGAACCGACCATTCCGCTCTTAAATGGTTGATGCATTTTAAGAATCCAGAGAGTCAGATAGCCAGGTGGATCGAACGACTCCAAGAATACGATTTCAAGCTAAAAACGACGATGGTCAACGACGACTGGACGCCTACTAAGATAAGATAAGGACAAGATAGAGATTCAGCTGAACAGAAAATTGGAATGGAAAGAGGAAAACCGTAGACCACCTTGGCAAGAAATATCAAACCTATGCTCAGTAGTTTGATTGATAAGACGTATTGGGCCAGTGGGACTCATTTATCATGGAAGATAGCTTACTCAAACGAGTCCTGGAAAATGATGACGGTTCAGAAAAGAGAAGACAGTTGGTGATCCCAAAGACCAGAATAGCCGAAGTACTTCGGTAGTTACACGACAGTCCATCAGGACGGCATTTCGGTGTAAAGAAAACGCTTCAGCGAATTTGGGAACGGTTTTATTGGATGAACAGTTCCGACGATGTAAAAGACTGGTGTAAGAAATGTACTATTTGTGCTACGAGTAACGGCCTTACCGAAAACGGAGAGCTCCTATGAGACAATATAATGTTGGAAGCCCGTTTGAAAGAATAGCTTTGGACATTTATGGGCCATTTCCAGAAAGTGAAAATAAAGGCAAGTACATGTTGGTAGTAATGGTTTACTTCACTAAGGAGGTCGAGATTTACGCACTTCAAGATCAGAAGGCCGCCACCATTGCAGATAAGTTGATCAAACAATATATCAGCCGATTTGGAGTGCCTTTGGAGATCCATAGTGACCAAGGAAGGAACTTCGAAAGCGATCTATTCCAAGGAATATGTGATAGACTAATCATGAAGAAAACAAGAACTACAGCATATCATCCGCAATCGGATGGTATGGTAGAACGGATGAATAGGACAGTTGGCAAGTATTTGACAAAGATGATATCCGATCATCAGCGAGACTGGGACCAATATCTTCCGTTCTTCACAATGGCCTACAGATCTGCTGTTAACGAATCAACAGGCCGGACACCAGCCAGAGTCCTATTCGGACGCGAGATGCGACCTTGTGATCTAGAGTTTGGGTGTCGACCTGGAGAAATGTATAAGGTGAAGGTTATGTGATCGAACTACTAAGAAGAATGGACGATGTACACGAGTTGGTCCGATCCCACCTTCAGATTGCTAGCGACCAAATGAAGAAACGGTACGATACGCAAACCGAAAAGGGGTGCTTTAAGAAGAATAACAAAGTGTGGCTCTATAATACTAAGAATTTACAAATACATTTACATTAGTCTTGAATGTATAATGAATATTACAACGGGATTTACAAAATTCAGGAGTATTGTATAATATATTTGAAATCTTTAAATAACTTCAAAAACTGCATAAAATTTGTCAGAAATCTTCCGAGAATACCAGAAGCAAAATATAATGGTTCAGAACTCTTTGTAGAACTTTAGAAGCAGTAAGTATATAGTGAGTGAGAAGACTTTGGAGGAGTTCAGAATAGTCTTAAATATTTCTGGTTAGTCCAGGAATATTTAAGGAATCTGAATAATACCACGAATGCTTTATGGCATGTTTTTTCTTTTTAATGATGTGTCCATTGTCTATTTTCTACTATTGTATAATTTTCTAGAAATCTTTTTCAAACATCAGAAGTACTGTAAAATGGTTCAGAACTTTTTGTACAAATTCAAAAGCAGTACTGGTAAGAAGTTTTTGGTTAAACATTTATGGCGAGTTCACTAATATTTAAGGAATATAAAGGAGATCAGGAATGCTTTACAGTGCGTTTTTCTTTCTCTAAAGGTGTCTGTTTTCTACATAATGTATCAGAATTCTAATGCATCAGAGGTAATATAGAATATGTTAGAACTTTTTTGTACAACTTTAGAAGCAGTATATAATGAGTGAGCACTCATTGGAGGATTTCCGAATAGTTTTAAACATTTCTGGTTAGTTCAGGAATATTTAAGTAATCTAAAGGATACCAGAAATACTTTATGGTGTGTTTTGTTTATTCCCCAAAGATTGCCAATTTTCTATATAATGTGCCAGAAGTATTTGAAAGACACTAGAAGATAAAAGGTGTATAGGAAAAAGATAAATAGTTTGGCTGAATACTTTAATAGAATGGTATGGTTGCAGTTCAAAACAGCTCTTCAGCGTAGCTACTTCTAAATTAGAATGGCTACGATGATCGCCAACATTTGTAACGGAGATGGCACTTAAAAAAGAAGAAGTATTCTCTCCTTACCTCTTTTCAATGTTTTTTCTTGTTTACATCCTTCTTAATTTCCTTATTTCGTTTTCTCCTTTAATTTTTATGTCCGTTTATTACTACTTTTCTTCTACCTCCATTCCCTTATTTCTTTCTGTTTGCCTATGACTATTTTTCCTGTACTATTGATTTTTGTAAACCGTATTTTCACAATAACTTTTATCTAGTTGCACTCATACAGTCCTAGAAGACATACCGTCTCAGGACTAGCAACTTCAACGTGGAGTCATATGTCGCCATGTTACCTAATCCATCGGTAACTCTATAATCTTAAATCATTATAACATTATTTTAAAACTAAATGTAATTAAACATCTGTAATCGGGTTTTTACCACATATGTGTTGTCTTAAACAAGACAACACATATGTGGAAACCAAATTTAAAATAAACGAGAGCTTAAGGAAAGTCAAAGAAGATAATGCAGAAACTCTAACTGTTGACCAAAAATGGGGAAAAATTCAACATGCCCTTGTGTCAGTTGGAAAAGAAACCCTCAAACCACTTAAAGAAAAAACAAAACCTTGGATGGCAGTAGAAATTCTTGAACACATGGAAGAACGAAGAAAACATAAAGCAAGAGACCTGAATAAATACAAAGAAATTCAGAGAAACATCAGAAAGAAAATTCGAGAGGCAAAAGAGAGGTGGCTCTCCGATAGATGCAAGGAAATAGAAGATCTGGATAAAAAGTACGATAGCTTTAATTTACACAAAAAAATCAAAGAAATGACAGGTTCTAGAAAGCGTACAAAAACGAATATCCTTAAAAATGATAGAGGGAATATTATTACTGATATGAAGGAGAGATTATGTCACTGGACCAATTACATTCAACAACTATTTAATGATGAAAGAGAAGAACTGTCATTAGAAATCACCGAAGATACAGGACCACCAATATTAAGAGAAGAAGTCATCTATGTGTCGTCTCCGGGCGATTATTAGTAAACGTAGGAAATTGAAATGCATCTCGGTGCCATAACCATGTTTACTAATATCATCTAACTATTGCGCAATATTGTGAAATATTGCGTAGTTAGCCGGTATGCTCTGATTAGGTCATTATCTTGTAAAAGACAATGCTGCAGGTGGTGTTGGTACTTTAGAAATGAAACACAGTATTTCTAAGTAGAAAAAAAACTCAGCGTCAGAGTCTTTTTACGGTTTGGTGTGAAATTTGCCGAGTCCTCCAGTGAGGAGCTCGACGGCTACTCCTTGAGAGTAAAACCACGACTGAGAGCAAGATCCGAAAATGTCCCATATTTAAAGTATTTTAACTTTTATATGAAACCCTTTCATTTCTCGACCAATTAAAATAATTAAAAGTTTTAAAAGTTAAAAAAGGGAGGACTAGGCAAAGTCGAAGCGCGTGATTGGTGCGCCTGGACGTCATATGCCATCAAAAACACAAAAGAGGGTAAAGCCACTGGACCAGATGAGGTGCCCATCGAATTATTAAAACTCATCGATGAAGATGTTATTGATGTAATGGTCGAACTCTTTAATCTAATATATCAGACTGCCACAATCCCCAGACAATGGCTGCAATCAACCTTTGTAGCAATTCTCAAAAACCAAGTTCAACAACTTGCTCAGACCACAGAACAATAGCTTTAATGAGTCACACACTTAAAACATTTTTGAAAATAATTCACAGCAGAATTGTTAAAACTCTTGAATATGAGATTAGTGACACACAATTTGGCTTTAAAATAGTATGAGTACAAGAGATGCTTTGTTCGGCTTGAATGTGCTGGCTCAGAGATGCATGGACATGAATCAGGATATGTACTTATGTTTTGTAAACTTTGAAAAGGCATTTGATAAAGTTCAACATAAAAAGCTTGTAGATATATTAAAAAGCAAAAATATTGACAGTCGTGATCTGAAAATTATATCTAATTTATATTGGAATCAAACTGCCAAGGTAAGAGTTGACAGCCAGTACACCGAAAATATCAAAATACAGAGAGGAGTCCGCCAGGGTTGCGTGCTGCACTACTTTTCAATGTCTACAGTGAAGCGGTATTTCAAGAAGTGCTCTCAGACTCAATAGAAGGTATATCTATCAATGGAGAAGTTTGAATAACTTACGTTTTGCAGACGATACAGTAATAATTACGGATAACAACAATGATTTACAGAACGTAATGCAACGCCTTAATGAACGCTGTCATGAGTACGGACTGAAGATAAATTTAAAGAAAACTAAATGCATGATCATGACTAAATCTGCACATGCAAATATCCAATTGACTATTGAAGATACTGCAATTGAGAGTGTTAATAACTATAAATACTTAGGAACATGGATAACATCAGATGTAGACCAAACCAAAGAAATTAAGACACGTATTGAAATAGCACGTACATCATTTATTAAACTTAAAAAGTTTCTTTGTTGTCGGGATATAAGGTTAGAACTACGCCTGAGAATGCTTCGATGTTACGTGTTCTCTACTCTTCTTTATGGTCTAGAAGCTTGGACACTAAAACAAGTTCATCTGAATAAGTTGGCCGCCTTTGAATTTTGGTGTTACAGAAGAATCCTACGAATATCATGGACTCAAAGAATGTCAAACATGGAAGTTACTAGAAGGATAGGAAATGAGGCGGAAATAATATTAACTATTAAAAGACGAAAACTTGAGTACTTGGGACATGTGATGAGAGGGCAAAAATACGCATTATTACAACTTATTATGCAGGGCAAAATCCGAGGAAAGCGAAATATGGGAAGACGAAGAATATCCTGGCTTAAGAACTTGAGGGAATGGTTTGAATGCAGTAGTGCAGAACTTTTTAGAGCGGCAGTCAACAGAGTCCGCATAGCCATGATGATTTCCAACCTTCGATAGAAGATGGAATTTAAAGAAGAAGAATCGGGTTTTTACCCACATATTTAATCTTGGTGGCTACATTCATGTACTCCTAGACACTGATGAAGGAACTGGTTTCCGAAAACGTTTTGTCTTTTTAACCTAGCCCGTTTGGGCCTAAAATATACCTATTACAAAGGATTTTTAATTAAATTTTTAATACATGGTATACAGCCAACTACAGGAACGTAGATTCTTTGTGGAACTCTCTCTTTGCTCTAGCCTTCTCCCCTCTTTTTATTATTTCAACCTAGTTTATTTTTTTCCTTCGTCGCTTATTTCGTTAATACTTTCTTTTCCGGAATTTACGTCCGTTCTTTACTATTTTTTTCCTTTCCATTCTCACATAATTTTTCTTTGTATCTCTTACGACTATTCGTCCCTAATGCCCTCCTCCTGTTCTTCTCTTCTTTTTTTAATTTCTGCTCATTGTTGTTGTCCTTCCTCCTCATCCTGGTTCTTCATCCTATCCGTTATTAATCTCTCCATCCTCCTCTTACATCCCTATTATCTCCTTACATCCGTTTATTTTAGTTTCTACTGCTGCCAACCCTTCTTCCTATTCTCTATCGCTATTTCCCTTTTCCCACAGTTGCTTTATGCTATAATTATCTAGTACTTAAGAGTATAAGGATAGGAAATGAGGCGGAAATAATATTAACTATTAAAAGACGAAAACTTGAGTACTTGGGACATGTGATGAGAGGGCAAAAATACGCATTATTACAACTTATTATGCAGGGCAAAATCCGAGAAAGCGAAATATGGGAAGACGAAGAATATCCTGGCTTAAGAACTTGAGGGAATGGTTTGAATGCAGTAGTACAGAACTTTTTAGAGCGGCAGTCAACAGAGTCCGCATAGCCATGATGATTTCCAACCTTCGATAGAAGATGGAATTTAAAGAAGAAGAATCGGGTTTTTACCCACATATTTAATCTTGGTGGCTACATTCATGTACTCCTAGACACTGATGAAGGAACATGGTTTCCGAAAACGTTTTGTCTTTTTAACCTAGCCCGTTTGGGCCTAAAATATACCTATTACAAAGGATTTTTAATTAAATTTTTAATACATGGTATACAGCAACTACAGGAACGTAGATTCTTTGTGGAACTCTCTCTTTGCTCTAGCCTTCTCCCCTCTTTTTATTATTTCAACCTAGTTTATTTTTTTCCTTCGTCGCTTATTTCGTTAATACTTTCTTTTCCGGAATTTACGTCCGTTCTTTACTATTTTTTTCCTTTCCATTCTCACATAATTTTTCTTTGTATCTCTTACGACTATTCGTCCCTAATGCCCTCCTCCTGTTCTTCTCTTCTTTTTTTAATTTCTGCTCATTGTTGTTGTCCTTCCTCCTCATCCTGGTTCTTCATCCTATCCGTTATTAATCTCTCCATCCTCCTCTTACATCCCTATTATCTCCTTACATCCGTTTATTTTAGTTTCTACTGCTGCCAACCCTTCTTCCTATTCTCTATCGCTATTTCCCTTTTCCCACAGTTGCTTTATGCTATAATTATCTAGTACTTAAGAGTATAAATGAATAAATTTTTTAACTTACGGCGAAACTTGAACACCAGTGCCAATGACAACTTTTGTTTCGTTTCCGAATATGCAGCCTACTCTTATCAACCTGTCATTTTGAGTTTGAATTAATGAATTGTACTGAATCAACAGGTTTCCTGAAAGAAGAGTCCTAAAAACGAAAAAGACATAATAGCAATTTTCTCATATTCTTTATTAAGCATCTTAACATTTCGGCTTTAAGATCAAAAGCCATTTTCAAAAAACATATCTTCTACTTTATGTATTTCTTTTATTCGCCCTTTTAATATAGCTAAAACGTACCTGTTGATTGGACCATCGGCTTTAATAATACCGCACTGCCCAGTAAGTAAAGGAATTTGTAAAGAAATTTCTTGGTAAATACCTTTACCAGATACTGCGCATATGTTATTTTCAGAGTAACCTTCCATGTACATTTTACCCTTGAAATTTATTTCAGGCTTGTATGAAACTGTCATGTAGGTTTCAGAGCAGGAAACTGAAACTAATAAAAAAGAATTAGTAAGTATACTCGGTAAGGAGTGTTTTGGAACATGTGCCATCATTAAATTTAAACATATTAAATCAAAGCCTCTAATTCAAATGTATGTCGTCGATTATTATTGATTAATCTATAATTAAATTAATAACGTATTATGTAGATACCCTTATATTAGTTATTTTGCTAATTTATCATTAATAATTCACTGCACTCGTGGTAATTTTTGGAAAATTGAGATGAAATGCTACTTCTTCTTCTTAATGTGCCGTCTTCTAACAAAGGTTGAAGGCAACTTCTTTAAACGCTTCCCTATCTTTTACAACGTAAAATATCTGTTTAACAATGAGGTTAGTCCAATCTCGGCCAGGCTACTACATCATCATCATTCTGGCTTTACAACCCTACGTGAGTCCTACCCTCTTCAAAAATTTCTCTTCAGTTGTCCCCATCCAACGCCTTTCTCCGCCAAGCACGTATTTCCATAGTTCTTATGTTTTTATCGATGTTATCAAGAAACCTTGTTCTGGGTCTTTCTCTTCTTCTCTGACCATTGGGTCTATCAAGGAGCGTTTTTCCAGCTGGGTCATTTTGTTACATCCGCATTACATGCCCTATCCACCTCAGACGTCCTATCTTAATAAATATTTTTTACGATATCACGTTCCTGGTATATTCTATAAAGTTCGAAGTTGTATCGTCTTCTCCACACTCCATTGTCATTCACTGCTCCATAAATTCGCCTGAGTACTTTTCTTTCGAAACATCCTAACATTTTTTCATTAATTTTTGTTGGAGTCCAGGTCTCTGAAGCATATGTTAGGACTGGGCGTATTATTGTTTTGTAGAGTTTTATTATGTATTTCCCGTTATAATTGTGGATTTAAAGGGGATATTGAGCCCAAAATAGTATCTTTTGGCCATAAAAATTTTGCGGTTTATCTCTGCGGTAGTATTGTTTCACCTAAATATACTAATTCGTTCACTGCTTCGACGTCATTTTCTATAACAAGTGGTCGTAGGATTTGTGGTTGCGTGCTTATTTTCATATACTTCTACGCCTCTCATACAGCGCTTTCCGTCCTCCCAACAATATTGATATCATCAGCATAGGCCAGGATTTGCACTGGTTTATTATATATTGAACCAGTGGTTGTAATTTGAGACATACGTATTACTTTTTCCAGAGCTAGATTAAAGAGTATATAAGAGAGAGGGTCTACCTGGTGTAGCCCGTTATTTGTTTTCAAAAGTTCAGACAGTTCTCCGTGAATTCGTACTCTACATTCAAATTTTTTAAAAGTTAGTTTTGTTAAATTTGTCAACTGATGTGGTATTTCTAGCTCTTTCATTATTCTGAACATTTCTCTTCTATTCACAGAGTCGTAGGCTGCTTTGCAGTCTATAAATATGTGATGAGTATCAATGCCATATTCCAGTGTTTTTTCCAAAATTTGTTTCAGGGTTGCAATCTGATGAATTGTTGATTTACCACCTCTAAAACCAGCCTGGTATTTTCCTACTATCCGTTCTGCTTATGGTACCATATGGTGACATAGTACTGTGGAAAATATATTACGTACAGAATTTAAAAGCTTTTTGGTGTATGGTGCAAAGTATTCCAATATTCCAATCAATGGGGAGGGATTTCTGTATCCATATTTCTTTTATAAGCTGATGTAATGACATTTGGTACCACGGCCACATTCTTTATATAGTTTAGCTGGCAGATTATTTATTTCGGGTGATTTGTTTTTAGCTAGTTTTTTCACTGCATTAACTTCAAGAATCGTTGGTGGTTCCTCTTCCTCTCGTCTGTTCTCCTTACATCTTCTCCTTACACAGTCTGCCCATTTATTCAATACATCTTTTCTTGTTGTTAGTAGATCAATATTCTGACTTCTGCATTGTCTTGTGGTTATCTTGAAGTCTTTTCTGGTGATGTTAACTTTCTTATAGAATACTCTAAATTATTTCTCTTTGTTGAGATTTTAGATATTCTCAAGTTCTTTATTTAAGTGGTTTATCAATGGTTTTGTGTGTATCATAGATAATTTAATATAGATAATTACTGGAATGAGTGCGAAAATATCCTGAAAGAAGTAGCAACAACAGTTTTAGGAAAGAAGAAACAAGAAAGAAAGAGGGCAGAATGGTATGATGTGGAATGCGCACAGGCAACTCAAAAAAAGAATCAGGCGTATGGATAACTCCAAAACAGAAGGACAAGATAAAATCAAGAGGAGTACAAAAATATGAGACAAGCAGAGAAAAAGATGCTAAAACGAAAGAAAAAACGACATTTAGAAAACCAGCTATAGTAACTAGAAAGGCTCAATTCACAAAGCGAAGCGCGAAAATTTTATAAAAATGTAAACCACAACAGAAAAGAATTTAACCCTAGAATAACCATAATAAAAGTAAGGAAGCCGAAATTATCAATGAGCCGCATCAAATAGTGAAGAGATGGGCGGAGAATTTTGCTGAGAAATTAAATATAGGAAACCGAGAAGTGACAGACATAAATTACCACAGTGGAGACGTAGACGATGTTGCCAAGGCAATAAAAATGTTAAAGAACAACAAATTCCCTGGAGAAGATGGTATACCCCCCAAGCTGTCCAAGTATGGAGCATACGCGCTAAAAAAATACATAGTAAAACTTGTTGCATCCGTTTGGAGAGAAGGAAAACTCCCCGACAGTTGGAATGTAGGTATTATAATACTTATTCACAAGAAAGCGGATCCACCAATATTTGACTATCGAGGCATTACCCTCTTAAATATGGCTTACAAGGTACTGGCTTATATACTTTATGATCGTTTACTAGTATATACTGAGGAAAAAATAGACAAATACCAATGTGGATTCCGAAAGGAAAGGTCAACAATTGATCAGATTTTCCTTCTGAGACAAACCTTAGAAAAGACATATTCATATGTTTTTGATACCCACCACCTCTTCATAGATTTTAAAAGCGCTTATGACAGTGTAGAAAGAAGCGCACTTTATAATGCCATGGCAGAACTAGATATTGCTTCGCATCTAATAACATTGGTAAAGGCAACTCTTTCGAAAGTTGAGGGCAAAGTCAAGGTACAAAACAGAGTGTCAAGGTCTTTTCAAACACATACTGAATTACGCCAGAGAGACAGTCTATCGTGCCTATTGTTTAACATCGCGCTAGAAAGAGCCAAAGAGAAATCGGGCATAACAACCAGAGGTACGATCATCAATAGAATTGTACAGATATTGGCCTACACAGATGACATTGACATAGTAACACTGACAAAAAGAGACCTGATACAGGCTTTTAAAACATTAGAAAAAGCCGCAAAGACAATGGGACTGCAAGTCAACGTATCCAAAACCAAATGCATGAAGGTCACGAACAGCACACAAATAGCGGCACCACAAGATCTGGTGACAGAAGCACACACATTCGAAGGAGTCTCGGAGTTTATATATCTTGGAACACAACTAAATAACAGCATCCTAGTAAGCATAGAATTAAGAGAAGAATATACCTGGCCAACAGAGCTTACTTTGGACTAAAGCAATTCTTAACATCACACATAATTAGCAAAAAAACCAAGATACTAATATATGAAACTATTATTAAACCTGTCCTGACATACGCGTCAGAGACATTCTTCTTCTTTAAGTTCCATCTTCTATCGAAAGTTGGAAATTATCATGGCTATGCGGACTCGGTTGACTGCCGCTCTAAAAAGTTCTGCACTACTGCATTCAAACCATTCCCTTAAGTTCTTAAGCCAGGATATTCTTTGTCTTCCCACGGATCCCTCGGATTTTGCCTTGCATAAGTTGTAATAATGCGTATTTTTGCCCTCTCATCACAACGCCTAAGTACACATGTCATCACATGTCAGAGACATGGACTATGTTAAAAAGCGACGAAGAACTGTTAGGCCACTTTGAAAGAAGAATACTTAGGCACATATACGAAGGAGTACAAGAAAGCGGGATACGGCACAGGCGCTACAATTTTGAGTTGTATCCATACTATGAAAAATGCAACATCGTCCGGTCTATTTAAATTAAATAGATAGGACACCTTAAAAGAATATAAACTGGAGACCCCGAAAGACAGATATTATATCAAGAGCCAGTAGAAACCAGGAAGAGAGGCAGGCCAAGATCTAGATTTAAAACTCAAGTCGAAAATGACTTGAGGAATCTAGGGTTCAGAAATTGGAAAGCCAGGGCGAAAGATAGGGGGAATAGAGACTAATTCTTGAACAGGCAAGACCCACCCTAGGTTGTAGAGCCAAAGATGATGATAATTTCATCTTTCGCTGCTCCTTCAATTTGCTTTATTCTGGTCCAGTAGGAGTCTATATCTTTCTGGCCTTCTTTATTTACATTTTAATTTCTTAACCTGTTGGTCATGTTTTTCGAGTAGCGTTCTGCAATTGTCGCACCTCTCAGCTTTTGCACATTCCATTTTTTTTATCCATTTTATTTTCTTTATTGGTGTTTTAAATTATAGCCCTCAATGTTGAGTTTACTAGACAATGATCTAAGTCTATGTTTGAGACCCTATAACTTCTGTAGTTTATTACGTCTGTTCCATGCCTTGAATTATGAAGATGTGATCAATATCACTCTTTGTTCTTCCATCAGAAGAGGTTCAAGTTACCTTGTGTGTGTTTTTGTGTTCAAAATAGGTGCCAGCGACTTTCATATGATATAACGGTCAGGCTGCTACGCATAAGTATTTTAAAATTGTCAAAACTCAAACTTTTCATTATTAATCATCATCCTTCATCACATTGCTGTTTTTGTGTACTGTATTCTATCGTAACGGAACAAACACGTTAATTTCATAATTTTATTTTTTAAAAGCAACTAAAAAATTCTGAAATATCCTACTAAAATATACCTACTATTTAAACAAGTTGCTTTCTCATAGTACACGGCTCCCTGTCTCGTTCTCAATGAGTTTGGTCCGTAAATTTTGGAGTCTTCGCTGTGGAGGTAGCATTGATTATTATCTACAATTGTGAAAGCTCGACAGTTAAATGGATGGAACTCGTCACACATCTTTTGGCAGTCTTCTTTATTTTTCTTTTGGAAGACGATGTCGACATGTGCCAGCGTCATATTTTCATATTCTTCGTAAGCACAAAATTCGTTTTCTAAAAAAAATCACAAAATGAAAATATATACAGAGGTTTAAATATTTTGATTGAAAAAAATGTTTGTTTTTAAAAAATAATCATTAGAAAAATCTTCTTTAAAACAAGAAATTTTCAAATTTTTTTTCTATAATCGGTACATTTTCCATGACGACATACAATTTGCATGGCAAGCTGCTCCAGATTTTATTATACTAACCTTTATGGTTGGGAAATAGGAAATAAAGCTGAAATATTGTTGACAATCAAAAGAAAAAAACTTAAGTACTTAGGAAATGTGATGAGAGAGCCAAAATACTTATTATTGCAACTTTTTATACAAGTAAAAATTCGAGGAAAGTGAAATGTGTGGCAAGACGAAGAATATTGTAGCGTAAGAACTTGAGTGAATGGTTTGAATGCAGTAGTGCAGAAGTAGAGCGGTAGTCAACAGGGTCCGCACGGTCATGACGATTTCCAACCTTTGATAGAAGATGGAACTTGAAGAAGAACTTGGTCAATAATAAGTCCAGAGACTGGACCACTACTCAGCCATTATGCAGACGTAACAGCGATTGCGGCTAAATATAGGAACATAGAAAAAAGAAGAGAAAAGGCATAGCTCGCAACAAAGGATATATATATATATATATATATATATATATATATATATATATATATATATATATATAATATATATATATATATATATAATATATATATATATATATATATACGAAAATCACTAGGTTCTCGGGAAGAACCGCGTTTAGAATTTAATGCTCGACGATTCGGCTCCCATATTCGAGCCATTCTCAAAAGTGATACGGTTCGGTTCGAGTTCGGGGTCTCAATCTGCCTACTCCACTCACTCGAGACGTACCAGTATCGTGTTCTGTATAATAAATAGAAGAACTGTCTCTCGGCACTGAGGTCTCAATCTGCCTACTCCTTAGTGTCAAGTGACGACTGTATATACAGTTGGAAGATGGAAGGCAACTGTATATACGTATTTTTGTGAATGTGTTAGTTGTTGCTCTGAAAACCTCAGAGTCTTTTAACATTATTGCCACAAATTGGTCTCATTGCTCCTGTAGTGATTGGCTGTACCGTACTGAAGACAACCAATAGTCAGAATATATATATATATATAAATATATATATATATATACATATATATATATATATATATATTATATATATGTATATATATATATATATATATATATATATATATATATATTATATATATATATATACATATATATATATAATATATATATATATATATATATATAATATATATATATATATATATATATATATATATATAAACGGCTTCAGCCACCAAAAAAACAAAAAAAAAAAATATAAAATACTAACAAAAAGGCGAAAGCTACCCAAAAAAATTAACAAAATACAAAAACCCGGGGCCACATCCTCGAGCACCGAACCGCGAAACTCGAGGTCCGCTCAGCAATTTTAGTTCGAAGATATGTCACTAGAGAAAGCAGGAAAAGAGCGCTTCACGCTAGCCTGCATTGATCGGGTTAGGATATCGTGTTGAAGTTCTTGTAGGACTCCCACACGATAAGTATTTTACTAATAGAGAGCCCCTATCACGTATCAGAGTGCTATAGGAAACAATGATGGTCTGGAGCATCGTGGTTACACGAATTAATCCACTTCACCCAATGAATGTTAACACTTGAATGCCATTAGCATCCAGTTTCTTAGGCTGGGTTTATACAAATTCCTGCTGCCGCTGCTACTCATTCTGTCTGTCGACTCACTTTCATCCAAATTGAGTGCTTGCACCCGCACCATAACACAAAAAATTAACGCGTTTAATTTAATAATAAGTAAGTTTTTTAACTTTTAAAGAAATAATTTTATATTTTTCACCAATAGGACCCCTCTTTAATAAGTAGTGTTACTTGTGAAATTTTGACGTATGTTAAACATTGTAACCCTTAAAATAGTTTATTACATTAGTATTCAATTGTAGCATAGCTCTGAGAATGACTAAGCCGCAACAGCTCAGCTAGGAATTAAATATTCTACACACTTTTAAAATACTTTTCTTTCCCATTCATTAATTTGTTATAAGTGTGTACAAAGTATTTATTATCAGTATTTTTTAACTAGTACGTTAAGTTCTTAATTTGGTTTAATTCTAATTTTGGTTTTTAATTTTTGTGCCCATTTTTCACAACTGTTTCTCCTGTTTTTACCTTACATTTGCATACTACTATTTCCAGGGTTAGATTGAAAAAAAAAATAGTAGAGATGGAAATCTTCCTATCTCAGCCGCTCTTTTACTACAAATTTATCTAGTCTACGTCTTTTCCAAACACCCTTAATTTTCGCACTCTTTTTTAACTTCATATTAACTAACTCCATGATTTCTTGAATATCGATTATTATTATTGCTTTATCCCTTTGTCTTATTTTAATTGTACTATAAGCTTGCTGGTAATCTCCTCTGGGATGGGTTTATTCTTACACATTTTTTTTTAATCGGCATATATTTGTCTTTGCAGTGACCCCTGTCCTATTTTTATTCTTCCTGCTACTATTTCTTTACTTATAGGACATTTGTTAATCTATATTTCTTATGTCACTTATTTTTTTTACTGTAGGTATTTCGATAGGCTCTAGTGTTATTAGAAAATAATTGTCGCAACTAGAGGTATCCTTTTATGGTTGTTTGTGCTCTTTATGAATGCCACTTTTAAAAAAATATCCACATAGATGAGTAACCAATAATTTCCAGAAATTATTCTAATTTAAATTATTTGATATCCTTTCTCAGTTTCTTTGTTGAATAATTAATAAGTTTCTTCTCGCTATAAATATTTCTCAGAATTTTTGCGGTTGGAAGTGAATAAAAAATATAATATAATAATACTTTACTTACTAATACTCACCTACGCACCTGTAAATTCCATACTTACTATTTTAATTGGTAACAATTATCAATGATATTAAAATAATAATTTAAAAGTAAGTTTTGAGACATATATAATGCCTGACTAGTCAACAATGAATTCATATTATACAAATTAATCGTCAAAATAATAATTAATAAAAAACAAGCAAATCCAACGCAAATGTTTCTAATAACTTGTGCTTCAGAAGCATCGATTATTGTAGCAGGACTCGCCAGAGCGACTGGGTAGAAGCCCAGTCACTCTGATTTGATTGTTCTTTGATGTAATTTTAGGTTTCAGCTGTGGTTACTGAAGCACGATTTCATTTTTAGAAACATCGTGCGAACTGCTTCAATTTTGCATTTGATCTCTTTACTTGTATCTAGTCTGTCTGTAATGAAGTATCCCAGATATTTAAAGTGATCAACTATCTTAACGTTTTGTTGCTCTCTCTGTAGGGAAGCATTGTCATAAGTTTGGCGCCTAAACATCACAACTTAATTTATTAAGATTTCCGTAACGTGATATGGGAATCATTAATTAAATCTTGGTGTTCAGGCTACCATAATGT